TGGAATACAGTTCTTATCTCTGGGCTGGAACACCCCAGTATCCGCTCCTGCCACTTTCCCTTATTCAATGGAGAGCGACCCGAATTGTGGACGATCAATTTATTTCCGATCGCCTAGATACACTGGCCTTGCGAAGAGACGTTGCATCTCTATGCATCTTTTACCACATATACCACCGGAAGTGCTGAGAAGAATTGTTGCTGCTGAATTCCATCTTCATCATCTCGGTGGCTGGCGGTCCACTACTGTACGATTTACGTGGAACTTTCTGCTTCGCACGACGATACTGTGGAATTTACTGTCGCCTGCGGTTTTTCCGGACCGATACGACAAATTTATGCCCATAAAGGACACACGTCATATTTATCTAAAACAACATGGATGCAATTTAAAATAATGACAATTACATGGAATGGAATACTAGAGTCTGTTATAGTCTACAGTCGTCTAATATAGACCTCAATACGGTATACACCCTTTATAAATTATTATATGGATATATCCAAACAATGCGATCCACATTTTCAAATATTGAAGCAAAAGCCAAAGATCTTACAGGCTGTCATGAATATCATAATATATGCAATAGACTTCAAGACGACGCAAGCGAAACACAAAATACGACCATTTCAGCGGATTTAGTACACTTGACGAATTTGTTGAAAAAGAAATACAGTTTGTTGTCATTATTAATAACATAATATCTGCATTTGATAAACGCATGAAAGCATACAAAAATCTAACCACTGTTTTTGGAATATTTCGACAGTTAAAATCTATTCTAGCAGCAGAGATTTTGAAAGAAACTCCAATTATTATGGTCGGTGCTTATGCGAATGGTTTGAAAGATTGCATAGACAACGAAATAGTGTAATTTGCCGAGTTGCTCAAAACGGATATGGCTGGTGCAATTGACAGAACGAAAAACGAAACTCTGGAAATTCAAAATTATAATTTCCTAATGAATAATTCATTAGAATCATGTTTCCCCAATTTAGAAACTGTTTTTCGCATTTATTGTCTCTCATCATCAATAACTGCAGTGGTGAACGTTCATTTTCGACATTGAACCGTATAAAAAATTAATTAAGGATAACTATAAGTTAAGAACGCTTGAATTATCTCTCTTATGAATAGAGAAATTGATACGGATAGTATTATTTCTAATTTGCCCACATGAAATCTAGAAAAGTTACTTTGTAAAAGTTAGAAAAAGTAATAAAAGATAAATAAATATAAAATATATGCATAGTTTAAAGTACGGCATTAACGAAATATAACAATAATATAATATAATTTATAATAAATAGAAATTTTGAAATATGTACTAAAAAGATTTACAATTAATTGTGTAGTATCTGCAGTTTTAAATTGTTAGTTTCTTATCAAAATCATTGTAAATCGCCAGGACAATCTCACCTCTGACATTTTGTACTAGTCAGAGTCTAACACGGCCTATTGTAATCTACTATACTATTAAACATCAACAAAATCGTAACTTAAAGATGGCAATTAAACGCATTGAGTATTGAACTGTTTATTACCATTTTATACTTAAGAACCCATAATATAAGATCAAGGGCCCCTAGATAGAATTTGCTACAGGCCCCACGCTTGCTTAATCCAGCACTGAGTTCAGGTTACAAGTCTATAGAACTCCTCGTCCGATGATATCAGAAAAGCTCCCAATAATTATGCTTTTAAAAAGTTATCATCTATTAAAGACAACGCTTCTTACATGAATCATCCATGTCATTTATATTGTTAAGAGACGTATATAGTCATTGTTATATATATATATATGTACTATATATATATATATATATATATATATATATAATATGTGTGTGTGTGTGTCTGTGTGTATATTGCTACACCCACGTCAAATTCTCACCACTCCTTAGGTTCACTGGTAGAGAATGCCTCAAAGCATTAAGTCCGATCTTTGTATTCTTTTGTTTTAACGAATGCAATATAGAATAAATAAATAAATTCAAAATTAAACTTTTAATATATTGTATTCGTATAAGCCGAGGTATCGGGAGGTTTTACAAAACTTGGTTTTAACCGGTTAATTTTAATTACCGAAACCTAAATTTGTGAAAAACCGCTGCTCGGAATAAACTTAACTGAAATTGATTTGGTTTGTTTGTTGTTTTGGAGTAAAGGATCGAAACAGATTTAGAATTTTAACCGGTTTCCAAGCCCTGGGTGCTACAACATACTATATTGAATAATTAAAGCACCTACATCAGAAACTATTAAGTGGAAATTATGGTAATTTTTTTAAATTTTTGAAGTATGTTTTATACTTTTCTTAAAGGTTTGAATAATTTACCTTGGTTGGTTTGGAATTTTCCTTCAAATTTATTCGTATATGGGACCACGATTGAAGCATACACTTTCATATTTAACAAATTAAGAATCGTTTAAATCGGTTCAGCCATTTCACCGACATAAATAAAAATATATGTGTCAAATTTAAACCGTCCTCCGTTTGGAACTATGTTAATAAAATAGAACCAACCTAATAAAAACAGGCATAGCGCTCTAAAGCTTGTCTCATGAAGCAGAATCAACAGTTAAATTACATTAAGCAGTCAGTACCTAAGAATCATTTGTAATAAGGTCAGGGTACTCGGTAAATAGTACAGCGCTTGCGCGTGTAAGGGTCAAGGACGAGAACCCTGGAAGATTTTCTGGAAGTTCGATGGCCTTAGTTCGTATTTCGAGGTTGCTCAGGGACGGCTTGGGAGGCGTGACCTTCTTTACTTCATAGCCGCACGGCATGACACGTGTATTGCCGCGTAGGCGAACTGAGCTTTACTGCTGAAGCCCGTGATAATATACTTTCAAAACCTTTTATATTTTAGGCAGTCACAGAATTATTTAATATATTAAACAATATTGTACATTATCAGCACGGAATGGGTACAATTAAGGATACCTAAATAAATAGATCGTCTTAAACGTCAAAGTAAGAATGTAACGCATATAAAATTATATTTTGTAATTAAATTATGTATTTTCTCTGTGATATATAATTAAATATTAATCACCCTAATTTCAAAAAAGAAGAACGTGCAAAATTCGACTTTATCAATATTCACCTCGCTGCTGTGGAGGCTATTTTGGTGAGCATAGAGCCGATAGCCTCGCACTTAGGGTTACCAGGTGTCTCGCTAAAAAATCCGGACAAAAAGCCAGATTTGTATAAAAGTGTCCTGATATTATTGTCGCAAGCATGCGCGATCAAACTGTAATATATATATATATATATATTTATATATCTCAAATTTGAAACTTAATAAACTTTATTTTACTGGGTGATCAACTTAAAACTCACTGAAAATTCTCTATAAAATAAAATAAATGATGAATTATTTTTCAAACAACTCCTTTCCGTGGGGGGTGGGGGGTGACAGAGGTTGCTTTGAGCTTTGTTGACACCTACATTTATTCTCGATTACATATGAATATGCAGATATCGCATTACAGTAATACCCTAGAGGACTAAGCTGGAATTTATGGGTCTCCGATTCTCGTCACTCACTGTACGAAATAGTTTGTAGTTTCCAGATCGTAGTTTTCCTCCAGTCGAGCAGACATGTTTGTGCTGAATCCATGATACGCTGGAGTGTGACATTAGCTCGTATAAAAATTGCAACATTCAAAGATCGGACAATAACAACCCATCTAATCCCGTATTGCTCAAAATCTCAAAACAATAGTGTGCTACTAGTACATTTTGTCAATGATTGCCTATAGAACCGAAAAATGTTCCTTCACTGCATTATTAAAGTGACCATACGTCCCGTTTTAAACGGGGCTGTCCTTTTTCTCGGTCACCTGTCTCGTAGTCCCTAAACAAAGCTCCGGGACGCAAAATTGTCCCGTTTTCCGAAATCGCGCGAAAATTTAAAACTAACCTAAACTAAACCGACCAAAAATTAACCGATTAGGATAATTTAAAAGTTTCCGCAGAAACTCGTTGGATGGAAGTATTCGCTCTTTCGCACCAACTATCTTCAACATATTTTATTTTTCATTTTAATCAATTTTTTAAAATAAAAAAAAAAAACTATTTTATGTCTACCTGGTACAAATGCTCCAGTAGAAAAAGTATTTTTCTATTATGAATAAATTGTGGACGTCTGGAAAAATCACTTACGTTTCCAGTTCTAAAGGCGATGTTGATAACAATGGTCCATGCCCAGAATTTTATTTAAAATCATCACCATTTCTATACCTGGTAGAGCCATGCTGCAGCTATATTAGTAGTATAGTTGTGGCACGAATGGTTCGGCTCGACCGGGGAAGGACCACGCTCTCACAGAATACCAGCGTCAAATAGCAGCTTAACACTGCTGTGTTTCGTATGGTGTGTTTAGAGAACCGGAGACTCTTGTTTACTGGAAATTGAGGCATTCCATCTTAGTCTTCATAAATGGCAACGCATCTACATTTTGATTCAAAAACGTGGATAAATGTAGATGTCTATGGGCCACAGCAACCACTTACCATCAGGTGGACTGTGTGCTCGTTTGTCACCCTATACTATAAAAAAAAACAACTTTAAATCAAATTTGTTTCACTGACAAATATAAATATAATTTTAAAAAAAAAATTAATAATTACTGTCTGAGGAACTTTGCTTTAATGAAGCTGGTGAACTGCTTTTCATTTTTCACAATTTGTTATAATAAAATAATTATAATTAATGTGAATATAACTATCAGAAATAACATTAAAAAGTTGTGTTTATTTTTATTGTTAACCTGTTAACTGGCGAGTATTAATAAACTCCGTAAAAATATAATACGTATGTACCGTTTTGAGTTAAAAAATAAATGTTCAGTTTATGCAGTATGCATTTATGACGAAGTTTAAAGCGAGCTAAGGAGAGGTCTTAAGTCATAGTCTCGTACCTAAAGACAAACGGAGTGAAAGACGGCCTTAACTAGACGGAGGGACCGCTCGGGACCGTCTTTTGATTCAGCAGTGGACTTGTGATGTGTTGTAATGATGACGTTGCTGATGAATTCTCAAGAAAATATGAAATAAGTACGTAAGTATTAAAGCAGCAGTTATATAACGAAATATTGTCCTCGACCTCGATTTTATTCGACCCTGGGATTCTTGTCTCTAGTATAGTTGTCATTAGGTCAAGGGAACATGTTAATATAATAAAAATCAATAGATTGTGTATTAATTTAACAATTCTTAATTTTATATTCATTACCTACTTATACTTTTAGTATTACTTAATAATACGAACAATGAAATTGATATTATATACAAAAAGAAGGTAATACCATTGAACAATTAAAAACTAAGTATACGTATAAAAAAAGTTATTTTTTCGCTACTCGTCTATTAGTTTAGGTAATAATAACTATTATAATTGGGATGATAAGTATTTTGATGAATAACGGTCATTTATTACGTGTATTATTAGGGATTAGGTTTGCCATCTTTTTTTTTTAACAAAATATAGTATTTTCCCAAAAAAGATGCGAAAATATAGTATTTTACTTTCGGAAAATTCAGGATAAAAGTTTACGTGGTAGAGCCATGCTGTAGCTATATTAATAGTATAGTTGTAGCACGAATGGGACGGCTCGACCGGGGAAGGACCACGCTCTCACAGAATACCAGCGTCAAATTGCAGCTTAACACTGCTGTGTTTCGTATGGTGAGTGTAAAACTGGAGACCCTTTTTACTGGATACGAGGCATTCCATCTTAGTCCTCACGGGTGGCAACGCATCTGCATTTTGATTCGCAAACGAGGATAGTTGTAGATGTCTATGGGCCACAGCAACCACTTAACATCAGGTGGACTGTGTGCTCGTTTGTCACCCTATCATATAAAAAAAAGTAATTTTTTTTACTTTATGTATACCTTTAAAATAATGATAGGAATCTGAGCAATTTAGATTCATTTTAAAATAAATTAACAATTCATTTTTAATTAAATGAATACCTACAAACGCTCTATTTCTTTCTTCTTTCCACTTTACAATATTTCCGTTCAGATTTCCAGTCACAGTTAACATAAAAAAGCGCGACAGTTGAATTAGGGATAAAAATATAGTATTTTCCGTACTATATTATTTTTCTATAATATATAGTACAATTGACTGAAATATAGTACACTACTATTATAGTACGGGTGGCAACCCTAAATGGGATATTTAATTTGTAAACTATATTGTTATATGATAATATAAATATTAAATTTGTTTTATAATACGAATACTACTATATATTCCAAATTAGATTTCTCACGTGAAAGATATTATTGTGATTGGATATAAGATATATACATAGCCGAGTTTATTTACAGCGATGTAGCGGGGTAAGGACTGAGGTGCTGGGAGCGGGGAAACTGCGCGCCGGTCACGGTCGAGGACGTGGCCTTGACACGCGCCGCGCAGCCTCCGATACCCGCACACCCCACCCTACATTCCGCGCCCCGCACTCCATTTGCTCACAGCTCGCGTTTACTAAGTTAATTTACATTTTGATTTTGTTCATTTGAATATCAAACAATTAATCTCTTGCTTACTTATATAATAAATAAAATACACTCCGACAGTATCCGATTTGACGTTTTCTACCGACTTCAAAAAGGAGACGGTACTCAATTCGACTGTATGTTTTTTTATGTGTTCGATTTCGATGATTATTTTTTTTATTTGAAAGCTGGTGCTTCTCATGTGGTCCTATATTAATTTGATCAAGGTCTGACCAATAGTTTTGAGTTATTCTTAATAATTTATATTGAAAGTCGGTTGTACAAAATTTTTAATTTTTAATTATTTATATTATGGTATGACGCGATAACTTTCTTTTCTTCATACGTATACACGAAAACAAACGAAAAATACTATGCGAAACAATCATGATGACCCCTCAGTAGCTCAGTAGTTGGCTAAGCGTTTGTTTGCGGCGATGTGGGTTCGAATCTTGGTCTTGAATCTTGCTTAGAACAAGTGTTTGTATGGTCTTAAGTAATTAGTCCGGGCCTAGATGTTTGTCCATGTGTAATTCACGTACGTAAAACGCCTCTTATCAGCCTTAGTTTTTTTAAATTACTAAGCAGTTATTACTATATTTGAATAAGTTACGTTACTTTTACGTGGTAGAGCCATACTGCAGCTATATTAATTATAATTATAGTTGTAGCACGAATGGGTCGGCTGGACCGGAGAAGGACCACGCTCTCACAGAATACCAACGTAAAATAACAGCTTATTGCTGCTGTGTTTTGTATGGTGAGTGCCGGAGACTCTTTTTCCACAGCGCACAACGGCCACAGCAAGCACTTATCATCATGTGGACTGCGTGCTCGTTTGTCACCCTAATCCTATTAAAAAAAGTTATATCTACAATAATAAGTCCTACCATTTACCGCGTAGTAGCGGTGTAAGAAAAGTATATCCACTACCCCATATCGTCCCTTGGGTACTAGGCTACTGAGGGCAACAAGCCAGGAGAACGGCAGTAGTATTTTTCTGATAACAATAAAATAATTTAAAAAACTGCGGTTGCCAACCAGCCTGCCATGCGTGGCACATATGGCTATAAAGCAGGTACAAATAGACGACCAACAGTCTCCGGCAGTGCCGCTATTTCTGGCTAAAGTAACGATGGGGCAGATGGTTTTAAGAATCCCGCAACCGAATGTTTCGGTGATCTCGAATCCGGCAAAGCTCGTGCAAACGGTCCATGCCGCATGCACGCACGTGCACACACACGCACACACGCACACGCAAACTCACACACACTCACACACACACACACACACACACACACACACACACACACACACATCCACGCACACGCACGCGCGCGCGCGCACACACACACATACACACACACACGCACTCGCTCTCTCACTCACTCTCACACACACACAAACGCGCCCGCGCGCACGCACACACGCACACCTTCAATGTAATTTTCGACCCCTTTTTACAAATAACAAGGCATTCTATCTTGGCCCTTAGGGGTGACAAAGAATCTGCATTTTAATTTTTAATAGACGATAGATATATTTGGATGAGTTCTGGATTCTGGATTGTGGAATGTACAGAAACTTTGCTTTTAAACTGCGCTCTGCGGTTTATTATGCTGTTGGAAGGGTTCTTCAACTAACAGATGTCGTTACTGCTAGGTTAAATGGTTACTTTCAACCCAAATTAAATAATGTCGTACGGTATTTTATCGAGGACGTCAAGACAGTTTTTATTTTGCAAAGAAGCAGGACATGTAATTTAAATTTTGCGCTTTCGTGATCTCTCATTCAATTAATATATAATAAATATCTCATAATATGTTAAGCTTTTCCGAAAGAAAATTCAAAATTACAGTAAAAAAGTGTATTTGTTCCAAAACTTACTATAATTTATATCTCTAATGTATGTTTGTCATCAAAATAAATATTTTGATGACAAAGAAACATGGAGCGGTAACATTGCAGATAATGATCAAGATAATAATACATTTCACATGGTAGAGCCATGCTGTAGCTATCTTACAGACCGGGGAAGGATCACGCTCTCACAGAATACCAACGTAAAATGCAGCTTAATACTGCTGTAGTTCGTGTGGTAAGTATAGAGAACCGAAGAACCTTTTTACTGAAAATGGGGCATTCTATCTTAGCCCTCAAGTGTGACGCATCTGCATTTCGATTCTTAATTAAAGACATAACATAATGTAGTGTAGGTGAACTGTGTGCTCGTTTGTCACCCCTATTCTATTACCAAAAAGGTACTTTTAAAATAAATATGTATATTTTTTTAAACCTCTATTGTAATGATGTTTAAGTGTTTAAATATAAAATTAATTAAAAGATAAAAATTAATGTAAATGTATAGACACTGTTCCTTAAATATTAAAGTACATTTATTCGCACAGATATATAAAGAAATTCTGTGTAAGAACTGTAACAACATACAAAAACTTTTAATTCACTCAAAAATACAACCGTTTATCCCTTTAACCACTATTATTTTCAAAAAAAAAGAATAACATCTTTCAAATGAAAATAAAATAGTTTTAAGTTTTGCTGATGATAAAAATCTTTACTTTTATATTAAGAATTTATTTTTCAGATGGAAGGGATGAGCGCGTGCTACAAAATAATGCGTAATACGAAAAGAAATTAAGATTTTCTTAAAAAAGCTTTCGCAATATGAAACTTACAGAACATGTATCTATCCTTGAAGTAATACGAAGTAGAAAGTCTAGACTAGAACACCTAGTTTATATTGAAGTATGTACTACGTAAGTACTAAGTACATATTACTTTTTATATATTTTTTACTATTTTTGAATGATTGATGAATGACTGAATTTTTTTATGTGTTTTACCTCACAACTATTTTCTAGGTGAACCGATTTTAATGATTATGTTTTTATTTGAAATCTGGTGATGCTTCTCAGAATTTCATTCATTGTCAGTATCAATACAACGGTAAAGACTTCACTCATTACTTGTACCTACCTACTTTGTTCGTTTATAAAAAACGTTTTTAAAAAGCTATACTAATGATAAAACTGGTAAATTGGCCGCTCCACAAATCTAGCACGCCAAAATACGCACGTCATAAATTGGTCATTATTGGTCAGTCTTTTTTGGAACTTTGCAGATTTTTTGCAAAATTGCTAGTTTAAGATTTCATAACCATTTGAAGAACTTTAGGTTCCCAAATTTTATGCACTAATTCAGAATTTAGACACACTCACACGTTCTGTTCGCCGCAAAACATATTTTCTTTTAGTGACTAGGTTTAGGTAAAGGTAAAAAAAAATACTTAGGATCTGAAATATATTTTACGGTTTTTATATTTTGACTGTACTACACACAAACGACGATTCATCTTCAATATACCTAAGTTTCTTTTTCGGTTAGTAATTTAACTAGTACTACAATTATACTTTCTTATTTTGTTCTAGTGTTAGTAGTAATTATTGTAAGGTATGATGGAATTGGCATGTCGTTTCGATAAAAATCCCAAAAAAAAAACGATGATTCACTCTCATGAGACTTATCCAGGCTTAGAAAGCCAATGGATTCATTGTCCAACATTAGGATAAATTACATTTTTTCTACGTCATCATCAGACCACCACTGCTGAACATAGGCCTGGCTGACTATACGAGAGCACCTTTTGTACCTTTAAAACTGCTTCCCGTCGCCGGTCCATGTATTTTACTGCTATTGTTAACGAAACGGTTACAGCGCCATCTATCGGAAGCATATTCATACATTTCAAGCATATCCCATAGTCGTCTCTTACGACAATACGACATCCATGGGACAAAATGGGGATGGATTCTCTTATGTCGCAAACACTCGGAAACTATATGGAACATTTTTTCTTTCATTACATAATCTAACACTCCATCAAATTTATATTCAATCTATGTGGAACCTTTTAGCTTGATTGAGGGATCAACATCTAAATACCTACACAAATTTTCAAATTTACTGGCAAGATTTCATCGCGTAATATCTGTATTTGGTACTAGATGGCGTTACTGCCTTCATATAAAGCTTAGGGAAATCATATAAGTCCATGCTCGGGTAGAACACAAGGTTATAGACTTAATTTGTCATAGAATATCAACAAAAAGAGTTCAGTATTTTAAATTAAATAAAGACAGAATAAACAATTTTAAATGAATCTGATCAATCTAGATCAATATTAATTTCACCTTTTTATTTTTACAGACGTGTAAATTACACAAACACAAGCAAAAGCAACATTTAATAAAACTGACTTTACATAAATCGTTATTAGGTACTTTTAACTTTTAATATCTTTAAGTTCGTGTGTGGAAAGCTTTCTTTAAAATTTTGAAGCACTTTATTTTATTAATATTATAAAATAGAAAATGTGAAATATGAAATGATTCATGGTTTTTGCGTTATAGCAGCAATGCTTTTAATGAGAAAAAAATTGTATCTCATTGTCTCGAGTATGCGAACGGGTAATCGTTTTCATTAGTTTAACGAATCAACGAACGTCAAGAGTGGCCGATGGGAGCATTGTAAAAACGTTGGAGCAGAGCGAGCCGGATACGGGTGCCCGATGGAGTGCGGGCGCGGCGACGTGCGGGGCGAAACGCCCGGGAGTGCATCGGGACGTTGACTGTCTGGCTCCCGCTTGCGTTATCTGCAGTTGCCCTTTAACACGATGTACCGTAACCCTCCTTCCACCCCCACGTCTGTTGGGGGCACCAGACTACCGCAGCTCCCTTGGCAGTTTTCTGGAATTTGCTATTGACCTGAAACAAGGCGGCCCCTTTAAGCGAATTTTTGTTTTGTTTTCATATTCAAAAATTTGTAATTCAAAGTGCGGAACAATTATTAGAGAATTCCATTTCGTATTCATTTATTTATAGATGTCACAAAACTGCAGTTTACGTTATAAATGCTTCTTTCATTTGTAATCGTAACTAACTTTCCAACTAAAGTTGTAATCGTAAGTGATAACGATGTGTTAAATATAGAGTTATTCACCTGGCATGCTTAGAACTTAGAGTGTTCAAACCTTCCTCATATTTCAATCCGAATAAACGTTGACACGGTTTGTTTAAAAAAGTAACTTTGAGTAATTTTAGTTTGCTTTTTTAGCCAAGCACATCAAATCAGAATACTTCTGGAATCATTTTATCTATCTGTCACGGTGGTTTCTTTCTGAGGGTGTTTTAATTGAAAAAGGAATGTTTCAAAATTTGGCATTGTTATAAAACGCGGTCGTCCAAATACATATGATTTCAGGTTCAAATTTTCAACTTAAGAACATAGTTTATAAAGGTAAAAAAGAAATTGAAATTTTGCGATCATTGCGTGTAGTTTAAAAGCTCTTTGAAGTACTTACTTAAAAATGTATAATTTAATATTTTGTATTTAACTTTACACTGTGTGCGAGCTTTAGAGTTGGGTATATTATTAGAATCTGTTTTCATGAAATCCCCCATGTAACTTCTTGCAATTACAAATTAACTACAAGGAGCTACAAAACAATTTCAAACACAAACATATAAACAACATTATTACTATCAGTGCCCAAATTACCTACTGATAATAATAAAAATGTTAAAGGCAATGTAACAATGTAAGGTAAGGTGGGGTAAGAGGGACACCGGGGGAAGAGGGACTAGGGACCATAACTAGTAAACCGAAGTGTTTATGACTATGAACTTTCCGTCGATAAAACAGTTAAGACGAAATAGTTTGAACGGTTTTCATAAGATGTCGCTACGTGACTCAGAAGCCACAAAAAATAAAGACATGTTTGACAGTTTCGAATTCGACTAGTACAAAGTTAGCGCGTTTTTTTGCGAACCAATAGTTTGGTGAAAAAAGAGTGCTGGAAATATTTTAAATGTAATGATACACGGAAAATACTGTAAGTATTCCTTTTTTATTGTAATCATACATTTTAATATTATGTTATTAAAATTTATAATTGAACATGATGTAATAATGATGTAATAAAACTGCAGTTTTTGAAACGTTTTTGTGGGTAAATTGACGTGCGATGCATGTTTGATATCTACGTTAATTATTTTTAACATTAATTGACTTGGATCCATTTTTCTAGTAACTACGAAAATTAGGTTAAGAGTCACCTCTGTAATCACTAACTTCCAGTTTTTGTTCGGCGGTAGCAACGCTTGTGTTGAATAAACTAAGTTAGGAGGAACGCCACAGTTTTAGGCAGATCGACCTTGGAGCACTCGTCCTCGGGCCGTGTCAACGACAGCCGGCCTCGACACGTTCAGAATGCCCCCTCTCCCTTGGATTCCCCATCCCCCAAACTCCATCAATACATTCGACTCGCCATCAACATATATATAGTACTCTTTTTTTTTACAATTGAATATTTGCAAATATAACTGACGATCCGTTAACTTTCAAGTAATAAAACCTTTAATGACTTATATTAATTGTTGCCCAGATAGCTTTTTAAGATCAAAAAATATAAATAAAATATTTATTTATATTAAATTAATCGTGATTTAAAAGCGTTTGTGATTGTGGCTAAAAAGACTTCATAATTTAATGACCACAATACGTAAATGAACTTCGGAAACCCTGGGTTCGAAACGCAGCTGTAACCAACATTTGTACAAAATCAAAAATCGTCGGTGTCTAATTAGATCCATAACGCATAAACATTACCTCGGATATGGGCGGGTATGAAAATTGTCGCCGTTGTTGGCGGAATAATTGGTGTGAAAAATATCATTGTTTAAGACTTGTAATTCAATGATCGTGAAATACATACACACACTGAAGCACAGTATTTTTGAAACTTGTGCGTAATATAACAATCTTTCAATCTATGCAATATTAAACATATTTTAAATAATAAATAACTAATATCTTAGGAACGTAAGTTAAATGTTAATACTGTTTATCATTTTGGATAAGTTTAGATTAGTGCTCGTGTATTCGCTTTAATCACATAAGCAAGTAATGTACTTTCTACAAAACGCTATCAGTAATAGATTGTGGCATCTAACATTTTGTTCTACAATCATTTAAACTTTTAAAAATAAAGCTTTGAGCGAAACGCATCTCTAGAAACCTCAAACTTTTCCTATGGTCTCCGGTAGCATGTTAAAACAGAAATTTTCGTTTTTTTTTATGTTTTAAAATATTTTATGTTAGATTGAATAACTGTAAAGAGTTCCATTGATTTTCATTTGTTACTGTTCATGCTATTGTTTATTTACACAGTTGCACTCTTTGAAAAGAGTTTGTCGCGGGTTGAAGCGTGAGGAGAGGGGCGAGACGAGAGCATAAGAGGGCGACGACTGGCACCTAAAGTCCGACATTGAGATACCCTTGCAAGGGCATTCCACTGCTGCAGTCTTCAAGGCTCACAGGGTCGTAACTCTGACGAACTATATTCTCGGTTAAACTGAACTACAGTGTAACCGAGTGGGCAGGCGCTTA